CTAACAAATTTGAGAATTACAGAGGTAAACAGAGATAGGGAGATACTGGCACCAGTTGTATCCCTGATGACTATGGATGCCTGCAAGATGTACAAATGGATTTTTCCTTGTAAGGTACTTTTAGTGATATAAAATTAGTAGTCATCTACACAAATATACTGATTAATAGGAATTGAAATAACCTCGGTGAGAGAAAATAGATTGAGAGCAGAAACAATAACAAAAATGTGGGGAAGGGCAAAGAAACATGAGTAAAGAAAACCTAAAGGGAACAAAAGGGAAGTGTCAGGATCAATAAGTAGGAAGACATGCAGAAAAGTCAAACAGAGATAATTTTCAAAGTGGAGAGTCTAGAAATAATTTGTCAAATTCATAATTGAATATAACTTCTATAACTCATTATCTTTACACTATATTAAATACCTTAATTATTCGCCACAAAAATTATGACTTTTAAAGGTGGTGGAAGAAAATTTTACTTAAGCAGTGGTAGGGGCAGCTAAGGAGAGAATGAAGTTTCAAGTACAAGTCCCTTTATAACAGGTCAAGGCCAGGGTCCAAAAGAGGTCTTCTGTGCAGTCACTTAGCAATGATCCAACAAGACTGTGGGTGTGATTGAGGAAATTAAGGTCAGACAGGATGAAAGCATTGATTCTGGATTAGGGCAGATCTGGGCTTATCTATCCATCCATTCACCAAATATCAAGAGGACACCTACTATGTCCAAGTCACTGTTCTGGAATCTGTAGAATGCAGAAATGAAGAGAATAAAAGCTCTGATCTCATAACCTCACATGCTAGTTGGATGCAGAGGACAAATGACACAAAAGTGAGGAAATAAAAATATGATGTCAAGAAGTGAATAAATGGTATAAAGAAAAGCATGTAGGATGTAAAAGGGACAGAGAATGATAAAAGATGTGGGGAAAATTTCTGGACCCCAATTTTCTCATATATAAAATAACCTCAGAGGGTTTTGTGAGGGTTAAATGAGGTAATGCTTCTGAAGTGTTGTTGTACAGTGCTGGCACACAGAAAATACACATGCAGATCGACTCGGGCTTTTACAAAACTTGAAAAGAACTAAGAGGCAATGGTCTTCAGGGTAGACTGCAGAAGGTACTCTAGTTTAAGCAAAGGGATAAAAATGTTTCAATGAAACATTATAAGAAAAAAATTGCTTAGCTTTTTGAGTTCTTAATATACTCTAGAGATTAGTGCTCTATCTGATGTGTGAAAGGTAAAAATTTGCTCCCAAGATGTAGGCTCTCTATTCACCTCACAGATTATTTCTTTTGCTGAGAAGAAACTTTTTAGTTTGAATCCATCCCATTTATTGAGTCTTGGTTTTATTTATTGCACTATAAGAGTCTTATTAAGGAAGTTGGGGCCTAACCCCACATGATGAAGATTAGGGCCTACTTTTTCTTCTATTAGACGCAGGGTCTCTGGTTTAATTCCTAGGTCCTTGATCCACTTTGAGTTGAGTTTTGTGCATGGTGAGAGATAGGGGTTTAATTTCATTTTGTTGCATATGTATTATGAGATAATTGTAATTTTGGGGGTTAGTCTCTGTGTCCTCTATTCTATATCATTGGCCTACCAGTCTGTTTTGGTGCCGATACCATGCTGTTTTTGTTACTATTGCTCTGTAGTATAGTTTAAGGTCTGGTATAGTTATGCCACCTGCTTCGCTCTTCTTGCTAAGGATTGCTTTAGCTATTCTGGGTCTCTTATTTTTCCAGATGAATTTCATGATTGCTTTTTCTATTTCTATGAGAAATGCCATTGGGATTTTGATCAGAAATGCATCGAATCTTTATAGTGCCTTTGGGAATATAATCATTTTTATAATATTAATTCTGCCTATCCAAGAGCAAGATAGATCCTTCCATCTTCTAAGGTCTTCTTTGATTTCTTTCTTTAAAGTTCTGTAGTTTTCAATGTATAGATGGACTCTAGATAGGGCAGAGGTTGGGAGGGGGAGGGAGGGGGCAGGAGGTTGGCAAGGATGGTGAAATGTGATGGGTATCATTATCCAAAGTACATGTATGAAGACACGAATTGGTGTGAACATACTTTATATACAACCAGAGAGATGAAAAATTGTGCTGTATATGTGTGGAATTGTAATGCATTCCATTGTCATTTATTTTTAAAAAATCAATTTAAAAAAGTGTACTATGAAAGGCCTTCAAATAATTATCCTGTTATTTTAAACTCTATTTAACTGTTTTGATCAAGTTATATCAATAAAATTCACCATCTTATTTAAAGGTGTTTGCTAATGTCCATTTTGGGAAGACTTTCAAAAAATGCATTCATTTAAACAAACTAAAAATCACAGTTTCAGAACTTTCAAAGAAATTTTTTTTGACTAGGAACAAAGAAAAGCATCACTTCAATTACTGTTAACAGGCAAAAAAAGTTAACATTCATATACAGTTATGGTCCACACAGAGTTTAAATTCCATTTTTTTAAAGAAAAGACATAATATCTTAATAAATCACAGGAAAGCAAATATAAATCTTCTACCTATATTAAATATAGTTTGATGCTTTTAAAGTTTGACTTTTAAAATTTCCACAGCCAAGTCATTACTCTATGATGTAATTGTTTCAACAGCTGTTTTCAGGTCTAAAAAAAGATGATTCCTTGATTCCATGGGTTTGTAGAATGTCATTTAACCTGGCACACATTTAGGCTGGGAATGCCATAGAGTCAGACCATGTATTTGATGCTTCCTATGACATGCTTTAATATACTTTTTAAACATTCTAAATACCAAGTTTTTACTTTAAGAGTATTTCAAATTCAAAATAAATGTTTTTTTTATGTTTTCTGTTCTTTGATACTGGATTTAGAAGACTAAAGAACAGAAAAATTAAAAATAATTTATTCTAACACAGTAGCAATATGGAATTTTTAATATCCATTGAAGATATTGCTTATGTATTTTACATAATTTAAAAAATACAATTACCATAGGCTTCTAAAAGCTTTTAGGTTTAAATAATCTATTTCATCAACAGGTTTCAGAATCTGACTCTAATCCTTAAACACAGTGATACACTGTTATATCTCTTATTTGCAAACTGAGAAGAATCCAAACAAAGCATTGTCTCCTAAGACAATATGACATAAGCAGAGAAAGCAAGTTTTCTCAGTAGTTCCATGGAGGAGTACAGCACCTCAAATTCCCCATTTTGACTGATTACACATAACACAAGTTATATGTATGCATTTCTGGTGTTCTACAAGATGAATAGGTAAGGGTATGACTTTTAATTGCCAGGGTTTTGGGTTTTCCCACATTCAGATAACGTTTCATTTCTTACATTAAAAAGGAAACAAAATGTAATAATCTTTAATCCAATTACAGAAAGAATCTTAACCCAGGGTCCATTGACAGGTGACTGGGGAATCTGTGAATACCCTGAAACTTCATGCAAATTATTTTCATATAGGTAGAATTTGGGAAAGAGATATGTGGTCATAACTTTCAGCATCTTAAATGGGTCTATGGGTCCCAAGTTTTTAAGAATTATGGACTTAAGAGATACCCCAGACCCAAGTACAAGTGAATCACATTCTTCTCTGAGTTGTTTTTCCAGCAGTAGTCATAAAATATTAGGAGTTCCTTTCTTGTTAATTGTGAACACCTTATTCTCCAAAGTCTCCTGGATTGCAGCACTTATTGAATTGCACTGTAATTGTTTTTTATGTGTCTGTCACTTCCTGTGGATAACATACTCCTTGAAAACACACACAAGGACTGACAGTTATTGTCTTCCCAGTGACTTGCACAGTAGGTATGCTAGCTTGAGAGTCTGCTATTCCCGTTAAATAGGTGCTCCACTAGGCCAGTGACTATCTTGTTTCTATTCAAAGTTGTTGCATGATGCTGGGCCCACACTGGACCTTGAAATGCTTGCTGAACCAGTCTTGTGGTTCCTGCTAAAAGCTTAGATTCACATTTACCAGATCTTATCTTTAAAATGAGCTGAGTTCCAGCAATGTAGTTGCTTCCCAGCTGTCTGTGAGAATGTTACAGTTTTTCAGCTGGGGGTTCTTGAATCATTTTCCGTCTACCCTGAGCTCATTTACTCTTGCTTCAATTCCTGTGTACACTGTCCTGCTGTATTCCATTCTCCTCACCTACTTAACCCAGCCTTGCAGATTTTGCAACATCATAGCTTCAGTGCTTGAGAACTGAACAAATTCTACAATCCTTCCTGATAGAGAAGGTGCTTAGAAAGATGATGTTAAGTATAGTAGGTAATATTTTATTTGCCTCTGCTTTCCAGAATTAGTCACTATTAAACATTTCTCACTTTCACGTTTAAAAGAATGTTTTTAAAATGTTACAATATTCTTATCCCAAAATATGTCTTAGACATATAAATCCTATTACACTTTTTTGAGTTTACTATTGCTTCTGTTTTTCAAATGAGTTGACAAATGCTTATTTTAAATTTATAATTTCAGATAAAAATAAAGTAGTTCCTATAGGAAGAATAAATGTACCAGCACCTGTAAAAACAACTCTTAATTCTTTTTCCTCTAAAAAAGCAATAGTTAATCTGAAAGATTTGTTTCTTCTTATGCCAGGTTCCAGCTGCTTCACTTTGTTTAAAACTGACTTCAAAGTTTAAACACTATCCTGTCCCAACAAATAACCTTCCCCCAGATGGAATTATCCCGAATACTATCCTCAGTACTCTCAATACCACACCTGCAGCCTTTTAATTCAACATTTTATAAACTTTCCAAAAGGAAAAGATAGATTTGTTTTCTGTCCTCAAACTTTTGCCTTTTGGAGAATTTAGTACATGGAGAGAGTTCTATACCTTGGGTGAATTTATACACATTTTAGAAAAATTAAAAACTGATAGTACTATTTCTACTGTATTGATTATTATGTGAAAGAAATTCTAAGGAAATTAAAAAAAAAACTAATCAGTTCCAAGTTCAAGAACTTTTAAAGTAAAGATCTTACTTGTAAATACAGATGCAAGGTACAGATTGGGCTCAATTTGTGTTCGATCCATATCACCTGGTGCAATTAAAAAAATTGGAAGAAATTTATTTAAGAATAGAAATAATCATGATTCATTCCTATTCAATAAAAAGAACACAAACCAAATGCACTTCTAGTTACTCTCATAAAACTAGATAAATAGAAGCCCAGCCTAGTGACTTTAATGTAAAGAAGGAAGTTAAACAACTAAATTTAATGACTGTCAATAGAAAAATACTTTACCACTACAAAAAGTAGTTGAGAATCTCCCTTCTCTCTAGACCAGCCTGGGGCATATTGTTCAACACAATCTACATAAAACAACCAATAAAGTTTTCAGGAGCAAAGAAGAGCAATATACTATTAAACCAACAAAATTTTAAAATAGGCTGGAGGAAAAAAGTCTTTTCATGGCCAGGGAATTAGGAAGCAGACAAAAGTTAAATAAATAAAAGAGAAAAATCTGTAGCACATATACAAACTCAGTATTCCTAATCCAAAAACCTGAAATGCTCCCAAATCTGAAACTTTTTGAATGCCAACATGAAACCACAGGTGAAAAATCCACACATGATCTCATGTGATGAGTCACAGTGAACACACAGGTACACAAAAAATATTGTATAAAGTTATCTTCAGGTTATGTGCATAAGACATATATGAATCATAAATAAACTTTATGTTTAAAATTGAGTCCCATTCCCAAGATATCTCATTATATGTATGCAAATATGCCAAAATTCTAAAAAACCCTAAATCCAAAAAACTTCTGGTCCCAAGCATTTCAGATAAGGGTTACACAACTGTAGTTCTCAGGCCAACAAAATACCCTGGATACTAAGGCCCATGTTGATGGCATGATATTAACCTGTGTTCTGAAATACAGTCAATTAATAGCCATTGATAACTCTTTTCAAACAAATTCTTTGGGGCAGAATTATAAGGAAAAAATTATAATATGGAACAGCATTTATTTTCTCATTTTTTTCTAAGATAAAAAAATCACATCTTTTATTGAACAAAAATTTCAGGTGGCTTTTTCAAGAAGATAAGATTTAAGTGAACAAAATTATAAGCATAACATATTTAATTACACTGGGAAGTTTATTCTCACTAACAACAAACCATGTCAAACTATTATAGTTATTGGAAAACTTAGAAAAATTAAGAATGTTAAAATATGAAATATCCAACACAAATCAATGAAGAAAACACTGAAGCTGAAATAGAAGAGCTTTAAAAGAAAATCAGCAGCAAATACAAGATACTCGTATATTTGAAATCTACAGAGACCAAAATTGAACTCCAACTGTGATAATTTTAAAAAACCTTCAAATGTACTAGCTATGCTTATTGTGGTATAAAAATTAGATACTATCTTTATTCAACTCCCACTCTCACTGTTTCAAGAATTAGAGAGGAAGAGGAGATACTGCTTGGTCCCTGTGGCTCAATATTGCTGCCTTTCAGATTTTACAGAGCACATACAGTCATAAGATACAAACACAGAAACAACATGGCAGTGTTACAGTATCACAATCAGTATCACCCATGGAAGAACCATTTGTTATGTTATAGCTTGTGCAGAAGCTCTTCAAAAATTGTTATGTAAAAGGACAGGAATCTGGGATTTAAAATGGTTGTACTCATATTTTTAAATTTTTTTAATTTTTGACTTGAGAGCAATACTTAAATCTGTAACTCTTTATACTACTGTTTTTAACAAAGTATTTATAAATTATCCAAGAAAACTACATAGTAGTATATGGCTGTTAACAGCAAAACAAGGATGAAGCCCCTCAAAACCCATAAAATATGAAATTTTATTTTTATTTTTTGTTGCTGGAGATTGAAGTACCAAGGGGTACTTTACTATAGAGCTACATACATCCCCAGCCCTTTTTTATTTTTTTATTTTTAATTTTGAGACGGGGTCTTGCTAAGTTGCTAAGGCTGACCTCCAACTTGTGATCTATCTACCTCAATCCTGAGTTGCTGGAATCATAGGCGTGCACCACTGCGCCCAGTCAAAACATGAATTTTTAAATGGGTGTCCAAAATTTAAGGTAAAATCTAATAAGGAGGTATCTAAAATTAATAACACTCAGGTTACTTGCCTTTTTTATACCACTTTAAGTTCACTTAAATAAAAAGAATATTATTAGGGCATTTAAAACCATATTAAAAGAAGTTGACACTTTTTAAACAATATTCTGAATTAAGTTGCTTATTGGCTACAAAACTAGTATGTACATAAACTCTCTCAAATAACAGCATTTTCAGAAATAGGATCTTGGCAACATAAAAGCTTGTATCATCCAACTGCGAAGAAGTAAATTAATTCAGAAAATAGATGACCCACCTATCCAGAAATGTAGACCATGATTTATTTGAATAATGTACATTTAATTATTAAAACTCATTAAAAAGCATTTAAGTACTTGAATGTATTGCTGTTAAGTGTTATGACATGGAGTGCCTGCCTTTTAGGGGCAAGAATGTCGGGGGGACATTCCAGCATTAAATCTGGTCGAGAACTGTGAGACTCTGTTTTAGTAGACAACTTTATCTACAATTCACTTCCTGTTGGTTCAACAGGCTGTGAAACACTGCTAAAACATTCTTTTCAGACAATTCTTTATAAAAGTATGCCATAATGGTTTAAAAACTAAAAGAATCTTAAAAATTACAATAGGTTTGCCTTGTGAAAGAAGCCATGGATTCTGATTTCATTTACCTAAGTTCAAAAATAACAAAACTAAACTTATGCTCTCAGAAGTAAGAATAATAGTTTCGTCCTTATGGGAGCAGGGCTGTGAATGACAGGGAACACTAGGGGATTAAGGAGTCACTGGCAATGTTGTTTCTTGAGTTGGGTACTGGTTGACAAATGTGCTCTGCTTGTTGACAGTTCTTTGATCTGTACACTTAGGCTTTGTATACCTTTCTTTATGTATATTATTTTTCCATAAAAAGTTAAAATTGTAAAAAAAAAACAATTAATTAGTTTCAGCAATTAAAAGGTAGTATCTTTGTAATTTTTAATGGTTTTCTAATGATGAGTTAGGCAAAACACTAATCTTACCAGATATCCTTTAACATCAAGTGACTAGTTACTGCTAAGCCACTGTCCATATTGCTGACTATAAGGAAATAAATCTGGAAACACAATAAGCTGAACCTTGTCAGAAGCAAGTGAGCTTTTGTGGAGGTTGCTCTGCTCTCCAACAGCTTACTATCAAAATATCCAATGTTCTATGATTATTGGCTCCTTTCTTTAACGGAAACACAAATTGGAATCTAATTTCAACCAATCTTGAAAGTGTTTCTGAAATCTTAACATGTCCTATAAATGCACAGTAATTCCCTCTTTTTCTGGGTGCCAATAAAGTTTATAAAGCAATGACACTGTAACTACACTTAAACATAACTGTAATTCTTATTCAACAATAACTCCTATAATTCTAATTTGGCCATATTATACAGGCTACAATGTGCAGAGAAGGATACTATTATAACATTCTTATAAATGACATCTGATAGCCACCAAGGGCTGAAGGCAAAGTAACTTCCTAATATTTACTAAACACTTTGAAGCTAAGGACCCCTATTAACCTATCCACAGAAAAATCCATTTTCTGTGATAGAGATCCTTCCTAAATATGGAAACTTCTCTCAAATTATGGCTTGTGATTATCACTAAAAATACACTACCTTATCTGTGCAGTCTTTACAATAGGCTTTGCTATATCTAGCCATTTCTAACTACATTTGGAAAGAAAAATTAAATCTGACAGAGTGACTAGTTCACTTCCCCAAGGCCAGACCTGGTAACTTTTAAAAGAGTGAAAGAATGAAAAATGAGCTTTCAAATACAGGAAGCCACTAGAAAATAAGAACACCACCACTTCATATCCTAGAATAAGAGCTTTAAAGATTTTCTGTTGAATAGTAAGTTTCAGGTGGGGGAGGAGGGTCGGGCGGGTAGGTTTCTGCTCACTGTACACACGACACCAATGGGAATAAGGGCCAGTCCAAGTTCTACGTTACCATTACTCTGGGTAATAGTTCCAAGCTGTGAGGCACAGCTGTATAGCCCTGCCAGCAAGGCCATCACAGCAGTGCTTTGATAGCATGGGGCCCCAAAGTGTCAGGATATAGAGAAGGCAGCAGTTGTTGGCTGTGAAAATAGTCTGATACAAACCAGATGGGAACTTACTAGATGGGCAACACAAAGGAAAACAATTGGCTCATTCAACAAAGTCAGGGCCCTGCCCAAGAATTCACAGAAGACAGTAACAGTCACCCAGAGTTGATGCAAACAAGAAACAGCCATGTGGTTATAGTTTAAAGAATTGTTTTTCCTCAGACTAAACAAAGTTTTGATTTCTAATTCTTGTATTCATTAATTGTAGTTTGGTGTACAGGCCTTTTTGTCAAAGACAAATATTTCATTTGTACAATATATACTTTTATGACACCAAGAGAAATATATGGGGACACAGAAAATAATTTTGAGCTACTTCCTGTAAAGTGTTATGAACATTGGCTAAACCATTTCAGGAAACTGGTAAATTTAGAAAATGATTGATCATTCTGACACAATAATTAGAAAATATCTAACATAATATTTCCAGGACTTCCTAAGTCCTGATTTAAAAAAAAAAAAAATGTAGTCAGAATGACTCTAAAGGCAATAATCACAGGGCTTTCAGCAGAACTACTTTTCTACCTAAATGATTTTTTTCTGACTTCATTAGGTGATATAGTATTACTGTACTTATATTCACAGGAAAAAAGTACCCAAGTTCTGTACCTGTATATTCTGAGCTGATAAGTATAAACAAACACTAACAATTAGATTTTAAAATACTTTCAGCAATAATATTTCACTTACTGTCTTTTACAGATACGTATTCCACATACCATATATTCATGTATACTTATGTTTTAGTATTAAACAGAGGAATTAGCATTCTAGCTTAAAATAATTCACAAGTAATTGTATTTTCCACTAGAAATCCCAGCATAATTTG